AAAAAAGAAAAAGAGTTTGGATTATTTGAGTTTCTTTCTCTTCATCTGTTTCCATCTTCCATGTACTTTCACCCTAGTCATGAAGGAAATAATTGCCCCCATACCTAGACCATATTGCTACAAGACAAACCCTTGTGTTGTTGTTTGTTAGTTGTTTGTGCCTGGGCAGAATGTTATTAGTCTCATATACCGAGCACCTAGCACTGTACCCCAAACCTAGAGGGATTAGTATGGGTTTAACAATTTTATTGGTTTATATCCACAGTAGAATTTACAGCTAAGGCTTTATTGAAGATGTTCTGGGCTGCATCTTTTCTGCTACTTTTACTTTCTATTTAAGTGATTGTTGTTAGTGCATTCCAGTGTGGAGTGGGCCATTAAAAAAAAATTTTTTTTTTAAATTTTTTAATACCGCCTGTTGTGGGCCCATAGGCCTGGGCACTGGTACTTTTTTTTGGTTCATGTTTAGGTTTTTTAATTTTTGGATCTATAAACTACCTGAAGACAGGACTACACATATCATGAATGTAGTATTTTTAGATGCCTTCATAGAATGAGGAAAAATGTTAAGATAGAAACTTTTTTTTTATTGTTGGGGATTCATTGAGGGTACAAGAAACCAAGTTACACTGATTGCGTTTGTTAGGTAAAGTTCCTCTTATAATTGTGTCTTGCCCCCAAAATGTGTGTCACACACCAAGACCCCACCCCCTCCCTCCTTCCCTCTTTCTGCTCTAACCTTTTCCCACCCCCTCACACCTTCCCTCTCTCTTTGCTCTACCCTTTCCCATCCCCTACCATGTGCTAGGTCATTAATTGTCCTCATATCAAAATTGAGTACATAGGATTCATGTGTCTCCATTCTTGAGATGCTTTACTAAGAATAATATGTTCCACATCCATCCAGGTTAATGCAAAGGATGTGAAGTCTCTATCTTTTTTAATGGCTGAATAATATTCCATGGTATACATACACCAGAGCTCGTTAAGCCATTCCTGGGTTGGTGGGCATTTAGGCTGTTTCCACATGTTGGCGATGGTAAATGGAGCTGTGATAAACAGTCTAGTGCGAGTGTCCTATGGTAAACGGTTTTTTTTCCTTCTGGGTAAGATGCCCAGTAATAGGATTGCAGGATCAAATGGGAGGTCTAGCTTGAGTTCTTTGAGGGTTCTCCATACTTCCTTCCAAAAAGGTTGTATTAGTTTGCAGTCCCACCAGCAGTGTAAAAGTGTTCCCTTCTCTCCACATCCACGCCAGCATCTTCAGTTTTGAGATTTTGTGATGTGGGCCGTTCTTGCTGTGGTTAGATGATATCTCAGGGTGGTTTTGATTTGCATTTCTCTAATCAATGAACATTTTTTAAGATAGAAACTTTTTTTTTCTTTTTTTTGAGACAGAGTCTCACTATGTCACCCTCAGTAGAGTGCTGTGGCATCCCAGCTCACAGCAACCTCAAACTCTTGGGCTTAAGTGATTCTCTTTCTTCATCCTGCCAAGCAGCTGAGACCACAGGCATGTGCCACAACACCTGACTATGTTTTGGTTGTAGTTGTCATTGTTTGGCAGGCCCCAGTCAGGTTTAAACCCACCAGCTCCAGTGTATGTGGCTGGTACCCTCGCTGCTAAGCTACAGGCGCTGAGCCAATAGAAACTTTTTTATCATTAAGTATAACACAGTGCTCAAATTTAATGTTTTATAAGATGATGAGGATAAGAATAATAGCAAACATTTACTGGGGGCTTATTAAGTGCTTAGCTGTATTCCAAATGCTTTTATAGATATAGCATTTTCTTCACAATAACCCTGTGAAGTAGGTACAATTATTATCCCTACTTCACAGGTAAAAACCTAAGGCATAGAAATGTTACAGATTTTATTCCAGTCTCACAGGTAATGAGTGTTTGCTGAGTTAAAAAATAAAAGTTAGTTTAGGTGAGAAGTTGATTTGTTCATGATGATTTACTCCTTCCCTTAATGGCCAAAGTTTTTTTTTTTTTGGAGACGGAGTCTTACTTATTATGTCACCCATGGTCAAGTGCCATGTGTCACAGCTCACAGCAACCTCAGACTCTTGGGCTTAAGCAGTTCTCTTATCTCAGTCCCCCAAGTAGCTGGGACTACAGGTGCCCGCCACAATACCCAGCTATGTTTTGGTTGTAGTTGTCGTTGTTTGGCAGGCCTGGGCTGGGTTCGAACCTGCCAGCTCTGGTGTATGTGGCTAGCACCCTAGCCACTGAGCTACGGTGCCGAGCCATGGCCATAATTTTTTACATCATCCACTGGATAATACGTTTTGGGAACTGTTAATCATGTTATCCATTATTGCCATTAGGTTTTAAAAAATTCTCTGTAAGAATGTTCTATCTGGCTCAGTGCCTGTAGCACAGTGGTTATGGTGTCAGCCATATACACCAAGGGTGGTGGGTTGGAACCCAGCCCAGGCCAGCTAAACAACTGCAACAAAAAAATAGCCAGGTATTGTGGTGGGCGCCTGTACTCATGAGGCTGAGGCAAGAGAATTGCTTAAGCCTAAGAGTTTGTTGTTGTGAGATGTGACACCCACAGCACTGTGCAGAGGGCAACATACTAAGACCCTGTCTCAAAAAAAAAAAAAAAAAAAGAATGTCCTATCCTTCTTAAATTATTTTTATTTTTATAAACTACTTTTCTGGTTAACATTCCTAATTTGCATTACCATTGACTTTGTTCATATTTTTTCCCTGAAAACTTTTAAATACTAAATTCTAATGTCATCAGGGACCACCATGCAGGAATTATCAGATGTCTGTATTTTTTTTCTTTACAGGAAATGATGAGCAAGTTATCCTCCATGATGTTGAAAGGTAAATAGATTATTGATGTGTGAAGGTGATCAACTCTTTTTCTTATGAAGAGAGGCCAAGGTAGTTTTTGTTTTTTGAAGAAAATAGTGTAAAACTAGCTATCGTTTTCTTTTTCTTTCT